ATCTATGTTTATCAGGGATACTGGCCTATAATTCTCTTTCTTTGTAGCGTCTTTATCTGGTTTGAGATTAGGGTAATTCTAGCTTCATGGAAGGAGCTTGGAAGTGTTCCTTCCTCTTGATTTTTTGTAATAGTCTGAGGAGGGTAGGATTTAGTACTTCTTTGGATGTTTGGTAAAATTTCCCTGTGAAGCCGTCTAGACCAGAGCTTTTATTTGCTGGAAGTTTGGGGGGTTTTTTTTATTCCTTCAATTTCCTCCATAGTTATAGGCCTATTCAGATTTTCTGATTCTTCCTGATTGAGATTTGAAAGATTGTATTTTTTCTAGGAATATGTCCATTTCATCTAGGTTATCCAGTTTGTTGGATTAGAGTTGTTTGTAGTCTTTTTTTTTTTTTTTTTTTACAATCCTTTGTATTTCTGTGGGGTTAGTTCTTACTTCACTTTTTAATTTCTGATTTGTTTATTTGGGTCCTCTCTCTTTGCTTCTTGGCGAGCCTGGCTAGAGGTTCATCAATCTTATTTATCCTTTCAAAGAAACAACTCTTGGTTCTATTGATCTTTTGCAGTGTTTTGTTGTTGTTGTTGTTTGGTTGGTTGGTTCGTTTCTATGTCATTTATTTCCACTCTAATCTTTATTTCCTTCCTTCTACTTACTCTGTGCTTTTCTTGTTGCTCTCTTTCTAATTCTTTAAGTTGTAGGGTTAATTTATTACCAGTTTTTCTTGTTTTCTTGAGGTAGGCCTGTAGAGCTATGAACTTCCCTCTGAGAATTGCTTTTACTGTATCCCATAGACTTTGGATTGTTGTGTTTTCATTGTCATTTGTTTCCAGGATGCTTTTTATTTCTTCTTTGCTTCTTTGGTAACCCAATAATTGTTTAATAGCATGCTATTTAGCCTACAAGTGTTTGCTTTTTTTGTTTGTTTTTATAGTAATTTCTAATTTTTTTCCATTGTGATCTGAGAAGATGCTTGATATGATATCTATATTCTTGAATTTAAAGAGACTTAGCCTGTGGTCTATCTTTAAAATGTCCCATGTGCACTCAAGAAGAATGTATTTTCCATTGCTTTGGAGTGAAATGTTCTGAGGATGTCAATTATTTCTACCTGATCTAGTGAGTTGTATAGATTGCTTCTTGTTTGTTTATTGTCTAGACAATTTATCCAGTGGTGTCAATGGGGTATGAAATTCCACCACTATAATTGTATTGCTATCTATCTCACCCTTGATATCTTCCAGAAGTTTTCTTATGTATTTGGGTGCTCCTGTATTGGGTGTATATATGTTTACCAGAGTTATATCCTCTAATAGTATTGATCCCTTTAGTATGGCTTTCCTTATCTCTTCTTATGGCCTTCACTTTGAGGTCTATTTTATCAGATATAAGTATTGCTACCCCAGCTTTTTTTTTTTTTTTCATTTCCATTTGCCTGCAAAATTTTTTTTTCCATCCCTTCACTTTCAGTCTCTGTGAGTCCTTTGTTCTGAGGTGGGTCTCTTGTAAACAGCATGTATATGGGTCATGATTCCTTATCCATTCAACCACCCAGTGTATTTTGATTGGAGCTTTTAATCTATTTACATTTAAGGTTATTATGGATAGCACTTGTTTGTTGCCATTTTTCTTCTTTATTCCTGTGTTCCTTCTTTTCTATTTCTTCTTTTTACAACAGTCCTTTTAGAAATTCTTGCATTGCTGGCTTGGTGGTAATAAACTCCCTTAGCTCCCCTTTTTTTTCTAAGAAGATCCTGGTTTCACCTTCAATTTTGATTGATAGCTTTTCTGGATAGAGTATTTTTGGATTCAGTACCTTGCTTTGCATCACTTTGTAGATTTCATTCTATTCCCTTCTGGCCTGATGTGTTTCTGTTGAGTAATTATTTGGTAATCTAATGGGAGATCCTTGTAAGTAACTTTCTGTCCCTCTCTTGCAGCCCTTAAGATTCTTTCTTTGTCATTAACATTTTCAATTGTAATTACAACATGTCCTGGTGTGGTCTTTTTGTTTCATCTTGTGTAGGACTCTCTGTGCTTGTGTGACTTTTTTCCTCCCTAAGTCAGGGAAGTTTTCTGTCATTATTTCTTCAAATAGGCTTTCTATTCCTTACTCCTCTTTTTGACCTTCTGGCAACCCTATTATGCACATGTTTCTTTGTTTCACGTTGTCCCAAAGCTCCCTTAAGCTCTCTTCCTGCTTTTTAATTTTTTTCCAATTGCTGTTCAAATTGGGTGATTTTTCTACCCTGTCTTCTAACTTGCTTATTTGGTACTCCACTTTTTCTAGTCGACTGTTGAAACCTTCCATTGTGTTTTTTATTGTTGCTATATCATTCTTCATTTCTCTTGATTCTTACATATGTTGGTGAATTTCCCATCCAGATGGTTGAGCATCTATATAACAATTACTCTGAATTCTTTCTCTGATATATTGCTTGTCTCCATTTCATTTAGTCCCCCCCCACACACAGTTTTTGGTGATTCCTACTTTTCTTTTGTTCTTTGTCTCCTCATTTTTGCTGTCTCTTTCTGGCCCTGGACACCCTGCTTGGGGTTTAAGAGTTGAAGTCCCTATCAGTCCAATGGTACAGAAATCATTAGCCCAGAGGCTGGGTCTGCCTTCAATCTCACACATTTATTGTCTCTGCTCTGAGTTGTATCCCCATCTCCCACAGATCTGGTACCTCAGTTGTCCACTTCAGGTGCTCGGGGTGGTGGGGGCACATGCACAGTTCCTCTGGTGTTCAAATCCCTGTGAGCACCCAGAGTCCTTTGGCATGCAATTCGTCTTGCGGGTCCGCCACCCATGGCAGGGAGGCACCTTGAGTCCTCTGGCAGTGCACTTGCAGCACAGTCCTGTGGCCCCTAGCTTGGCACACCAGGTTGCTCTGGGTTGCCCTGGAAGTGCTCTCCTATAGTCCAGAGAGGGGTGCATGCTGGATTTCTCTGGGTAGCCTCAGCAGGCCTGTTCCGGGGTTTGGGGTGGAGCCGACTCTGGTTGCTCTTGGTCACAAAATCAGAGCTTTCCTGTGGCCTGGATTAGGTCGCACACTGAGTTACTTCAGGTTGCCCTAGGAGCAAGTCCCTGTGCCTGGGGTGGAGCAGGAACGGGTTGCTCTGGGTTGCACAGTCAGCGCTCTCCTGTGTCCCAGACTGGAGCACATTCCAGGTCACCCCTTCCAGGGTCCAGTGTGGAGCCGAGGCCAGCTGCTCTGGGTCACACAATCCAAACTCTCCTGTGACCCGGAATGAGGCGTGTGCTGGGTTGCTCCAGGTATCCTCAGGAGGACTGTTCCAGGGGCCAGGGTCAAGTGGCCACAGGTTGCTCTGTTCACACAGTCAGACTTCTGTGGCCCTGAGTGAGGCACGAACTGGGTTGTATGGGTTTTTTTAATGTTTGTCTTTAATTTTTCTTTTATACTAAGAACATAAATCATTAACATAAATCATTATGTTAATCTATATATATATATAAAAGTCTAAGCGACCGTCCGACTGGCCGGTAGATATAACGCACACTGACCACCACGGGACAGACGCTTAACGCAGGAGTTGCTGAGCTGCAGTGACTTGGCAGCAGCGATTCTCGGGTGACACACCCCGGAACCAGAGATTAGGGAGCCCAGTTCCTCGCAGGGCCCTGCAATTTTACCTTCAGCCATGGATTATGTTGTTGCTGGGCCATGCGATTCCACCTTCAGACGTGGATTATGTTGTTGCTGGGGCACTGTCAGCCCTGAATCTGGTTTAGTACCAAGCTGCAGTGACTTGGCAGCAGCAGTTCTTGGGTAACACACCCCGGAGCCAGAGAGGAGGAAGCCCAATTCCTTGCGGGGTTGCGCGATTCCATCTTCGGCCATGGTTTATGTTGTTGCTGGGGCACTGCCAGCCCCAAATCTGGTTTACTGCACACTTGGGTTTGCATTCCACACACTGTATGACAGCAACTTTTCAGAGTATCCTCTCGCACTCCGGGACCCCTTGGAGGGTGTCGGAGAGCCAATTTCAGCACAATCCCTGCAGGCCAGGCTGAGGGACCTCACCTGCCAGAGGGACCCCACTCACTCCGCAGATGCCCTTTGAGCTGTGGCACCGCCCCAGGTGCGGCTGGCCAGAGAGGGACTGCGGGAGTTTGGCTCCAGGGCATGTCCAGCCCATCTCACCCAGTCCCGCCCCACAGACCACCTTCTAATTAATTTCCTTTCAATGTGCATGAATCCATGCACTGGGTCACTAGTATTAACACAAAAGCAGAAGACTGTTACATTGGGACAGTTTGTTAAGAACATAAAAAGGAGGTACTTTCTTCTAAATATAATTTAAAATTGTTACATGTGGTCTTTTGAAATATAATTCCAAACAAGTTTGCTCAGAAATTATAAATTAATCATCAGTAAAATGGTCTGTCTTATTCAGTCTCAGCTATAGGATAACCAATAGCATACCTGTTTATTTTGCAGAGCTCTCTGGAAAAGTCGAAGAAATGCAGCCAAACTAAAACGGTACATGTTATTAATTTTGGACAAGTCAGAGATAATGAAGTACATCCTGCTAGCACTCTCAGCCAGAGGAAGATAGGCATCCCGCTCCTGTGAATCATTGGTTGGGAGAGAGAAAAAAACAAAAACACAAAACACCTGAGTAATAGTGTTTTACTGCCACCTACAGACCACTATGCATATATCCAGCCACAGCCTTACTATTTCTACATACATCCAATGAATGAAGATGACAAATCATAGAATGTTATAACTAAAAGGACTAGCAAGATCTGGTTTTTATTTTTATGAAATTGAGGGAAATATATTTCAAATACGTATCTACCCCACATATTACAAAGCTGGAAGTGGTTCATGGGTTGATATTAATGAGGACCATGAGCACTCGTATTAGGGGAAGAGAGTAAGATGGAATGGTAAACCATTGTGATCACAAAATAAACAATGCAATTTCACATTTCAAAAGGAAACCAGTTTAGATAATGCAAGAGGGCAGGACAGTAGTACTAGGCTATCCCTGTAGCAAAAAAAAAAAAAACAAAAAAAAAAACTATGAATGTAGTGTGTGGGACTAGTTCCAGCAAGATTACTGATGGAACTAGAGTGAAGAAGACTGTAACAGGTGGCCACATTAAGATAATAAAGCATCTAGCATTGTTCAACATAAGTATAGAAAGAGTTAATAACCACTGTTGCTTTGATTCTGACTGAAGGTAAAGGATTATAAAAAATGAGAATCATAGGATTAAATGGCCTCAAGGTTCTGAGTGGAACTCTGAGAAGGATCTCCATCAAAGCCCCAGGTTTACAAATATGATACTGGTAAAATTATGTGTGTGACTCAGCAATGCCTGTTAAGAAAAAGAAAGCAAAGAAAGTTCAAATTCCTTTAGGTATAGAATGACAATCATGAGATATGCCAAGTTTAGAGAAGGTGGGGAAACAAGATTGGAATCGAGCTATAAGTTTGCTCTTATTCTAGTTTCTATAGAGCTCTTGCCAAGATGAAAAAGGTAATAATATATAATTATAAAATTTGAGCAATAGATGCAAAATACTGAACTAAAAATTTGAAACGTTATTGAAGTAAATGGAAAAGAATGAAAGAAGGTCAGTTAGCAGCCTGCGATACATAACATTAATCTGCTTGGTTGTCTTATTTTCTTCAAGCAAAGCTCAGTCACTAGAATGCAGAAGAGGAAAAAATGTATTATACTGAAAGGAGGTTGGAATTTTACAAAAGTAAATGTCAAAAAACGTTTAAAAGATTCTAACCATTTGTAAGAAAACAGTTCAGAACCTCATAATCACATAGTTCAGGATACACAGGTAAAAAATGTTTTTAATAGAAAAAAAAGCTTATAACTCTTTTGACTAATGGATGGATTCCACTTGCCTTAACTTCTGTTTCAGGTGTGCAAAGATGCTATAATAGTCATGTTCAATATGCTCATTTTAAACTGTAGAACTTCAGATAACAGTATACCTAACACGCGTAGAACCCAGCAGGGTATACTGACCAGCAGTCTTATCCTCAAGGCCACGATCTCATCACCCTCTCTGTAATACTAAGAATCGGACCCAAGGCTCTGGTTTTATTAATAGCTTTCTTTTTTTGCAATCACCATTACCCTAAAGTCCTTATTGTACATTTTTAATATTAACATAAAAGCTTATAAAAACAGGCTATAAATCAGTAAGAGGGAATAATTACTTGATCAAGAAAAATTTGAAGTTTGTAAGATTCTTTAAGTGACTCTTGAATAAGTGCACTGCTTGCTTTTGTCTGATTCAAAGATTCAATCAAATCCTTATTTTCCAAAATATTGCCTTGAGATGTGGCAAGTGTCTGTAGAAAAATTAACAAAATAATATTAATGTTACCATACATATTAAAGTAATCAATTAACTAAAATTAACTTGATGATGTTTATGAGAACCTATGTTATTTTAAAACAATTTCAACATTTAATAGCCTCCAAGAATGATATAGGAAATTTTTATACTATATCATCAAAGCATTGCATATACATTAATTTATCAATCTAATAAAAATACTTAATGTTACAAGTTAAATTATAATCTCATGCTACCTTTTAATGCTTCTTGAAATTCTGAGCATGTAAACAGATAATTAATTAGTGAAATAATCCAATATGAAGACAGTGTTTATTAAAAATTGCTTGCCTTAAACATTATTTTCTTAAAATTTTCTCACCACCATTTATCCCCCTTATACCCTCTTCCACCTCCACTAAACCCCCTATTCTCCTCCCCACAGTCACCACACTGTTGTCCAGGTCCATGAGTTGGTTCTTTTTTTCTTTTCTTTTTCGCTAAACACTATTTCTTAAAATCTTATACTCCAAAATATCTAGTTTTTTTGTTTGAATTTTGATTTTAAGATATATATTGATATGTCTTTGATACAACCAAAAACATGCTGAAGGTACTATTAATTTAAAAAAAAAACTTACTTACTAGTATATTTACTAGTATATTTACTTACTAGTATATTTACTTACTTACTAGTATATTTATTAAATATATTTACTTACCAGTATATTTATTAAAGAAATAAGGTAATATAATAAATATCTTGAGTAATTAAATTTTACCTCTAAGAGAGATTCCTCAAGCTTGGCTAACTGTATTTTCTTATCTTCTTCCTGTTGTAATAGTTTTGTTTTCTGTTCCTCTAAATCAGGTTTTTCATGCTGAATAGTTAGAGCCAAAAGCTTAAAACAAATTTTAATATCAAGGTTATTCTAGTGATATAGTTTAAAGAAAACATAATAAAATAAAAACTTTCCACAAGCAGGCCTTAAGTTTGACCAAATCCTACAAGTATTATGATACTATGTACCTTACATGATTCTTTCTGGTTATATATATATGAGACACCTTCACAATTATTTCTGACAAAAAATAGTTAATCTGATGGGTAAAATGTTAAATATTACAGGATGGTAGAAGAAAATGCATTATTTAACATATCCATGTGGAATATTTAATTCTAAACTTAGATTATATATATAAAAAGTATAGAAGCTACTATTTTTAATGGTTAAGTATTCACATAAAGAAGTGTGAGATATCTTACTTAAAACACTATATCATCAATTACCTAGTATGGCTACAATTAAAAAATAAATAATAACAAATGTTGGTTAGAATGTGGAGAAAGTGAAACACTCATATGTTTTTGGTGAGAAAGAAAAACAGCTCAGCGACTTTGGAAAAGTTTGTTCTTCAAAATGTTGTTACCATAAGAAAAAGCACTCCACTAAAAATCAATGAATTGTACCCTTTAAATTGGTGAACTAACTGTACAGCATGTGAATTAAATCTTAATAAAGCTGTTTGTTTTTTTTAAATGCTGTGTCAAATTCTTAATTTTGGAAATTCAAATTAGGGAATGACACTGGTATGTCATAAATCATATAATCAAAATAAACTATATAAGCATTGTCTCTTAGTTTTTGTTAAATATCTAAATAGCGACTTTCAGCAATTACTATGGAGAGCTTTTATTATTTACTTTTTAAAAATATTTTTAAAACTGATTGCAGAGAAGAAGTGAGAGGAAGAGAGAGATAGAAACATCAATGATGAGAATCAATGATGGACTCCCTCCTACAAGCCTCACACTGGGGACTAAGCCCACAACCCAGGCATGTGCCCCCACGAGGAATCAAACCGTGACCTCCTGGTTCATAGGTAGATGCTCAACCACTAAGCCACAACAGCTGTGCACTATGGAGAGCTTTTAGACAAAAGGAGCAATTTTGTCAACTAATTCTGCCAAGTTTTAAATAATCTGCCCATTGTTTTATTTATAAGATTATCATCAAGTAAATCCAAAGATAATGTTCATAGAAATATATGTGGTGAGTCACATAATATGGTAAGAAAAATATTTAATAATGAAGATTTTAAAATTACAATAAAGTGAAAATTATAGCAAATAGACATGCTATCATATAAATCAAAAATCTAAGATTGTTAGATAAATAAAAAATAGGATGATACTCAAAAAATCAACAGGTATATGTTTAAAGTGAAAAAAATAAGTGAGATAGCATATAAATAAATGTCTGGATATTAAACTTTAGTTTGAAATCCATGCATTAATAAACCATACCCAGATAAAGTGAATTCAAAGGTGTGTATGCTCTGATGAAGGAAAAAAATTGAGTGGGAATCAAAGACCCTCAACTAGCTAAGTATGTCAATTAAATGAAATTTTCACATTTAAACTTCATCTTTTACAATTAAAAAAATAAAGTAGCTGATCGTAATCTCTATGATTCTTCCATCTCTCAAATTCTACCATATATGATGGAAACAGACTTAAAATTAAATTTATACTGAAAGAATCAACCATTTGACTTTAGCAACAAATGCACACTTCTAACACAAATGATACATGAAATAAACCCAAATGATTTAAGATAACTTGAAAGTATATTTTCAGAAAATTAAATGCTAAACAGTTTAACAAAATAGCTTCCCATTGAAAAAGTCTAATGAGTATATAAAACTACAAAAGATCTCCAAGGTAAATTATGATAGATGGATACCTGTCCTCGTAATCCACTTCTTGTAGTAGTAAAGTTAACCTCAGTAACAATGGAAGCTGCATCCGGTGGAATGAAGGGATTTGGGTTTCTTGTTGACAAAAAAAGGCGGAATTCTTCATTGTAGTCAATAATTTTGTCACCTATTTGTACCACATAACGAGGTCCTATTTTTTTAAAAATGACACAATTAGTTGGCCTTAATATCCTGTGTTTTGCTACATGACGTTAAAAATAAAATTTCCCAGTAATTCTAAATAGGTTGTATTACAGACTTTTCAAGAGTTCAAAAGAGCAACAGTTAGGCTACCCAAAACACTATTAACCAGATGCTTTATTAGCTGGCACTTATGTAAGCAATTGTAAGTCATACTCATTAAGATGACCCCAAGATATTGAAGCATCAAGAGTATCTACTTATATTCAAGATGGTTTTAGTGTTAACTATATGTTTCATATTCCAAATTTTTCTGAGATTACAGATTATAAAAAATTAAAAACTATTATATATTATTCTCTATTTCTAAATTCATCAGTTAAAACGTGTTTATTATAACTAGTATTGAGGATGTGATGCTTGGAGACAGAATAAACTGGTATAAACCTAGGATAATCAACACATGAGTAATTACAAAGTTATCATTAATAACATAAGGAAAGTAAAGTTCTGCCTTAAAAAGGAGTGCATTCTATATAATAAAGAGCTAATATGCAAATGATTGTCATGCCCTCACACAGTCATGCTGTAGCGGCTCAGACACTCAACACTCGGGAGAGAGCAATGGGGACCAGCCAGGCACAAATGAGCTCAAGAGAGAGGAATGGGGACCAGCCAGTCTGCGTCCAGGGAGAGGGACAAGCCGGCCGCCCCGCGGTCCCGGGCGCCTGCAGCTGCGGCCTGGGAGAAGCCTCCCGCCCAAGGCCCCCTGTGGCTGAGGCCAGCCCAGGCAAAGCCAGCCCAGATCCTGGGTGCCTGCGGCCGGCCAGAGGAGGGAAGCCTGGGTCCCGGGTGCCTGCAACCAGCTGGAGGAGGGAATCCTGGGTCCCGGGTGCGGGGCAAGGCAGAAGCAGTTAGGGCCGGCCTATCAGGCCAGCAGGGGAGCAGTTAGGGGCGGTCAGGCAGCCAGGCAGAGGTGGTTAGGGGTGATCAGGCAGGCAGGAAGAGGGGTTAGGGGTAATCAGGCAGGCAGGCAGGCGAGTGGTTAGGATCCAGTGGTCCCAGATTGCGAGAGGCAATTGGACATCCCCCAAGGGGGTCCCACATTGGAGAGGGTGCAGGCCGGGCTGAGTGACCCACTCGCCCCCATGCATGAATTTCATGTACTGGGCCTCTAGTTCTAAAATAGAAAACAATAATATTCATTATATAACAGATACGGAGATATTAATCAACAATTATATCCATAACTTATTATTTTAAATTGACAACAAATAATTGATTTTTTAATCCTCACTGAGGATATTTTTCCCATTAATTTCTAGAGAGAGTAGAATGGAGTGGGGGGAGAGAGAGAGAAACAGTGATGTGAGAGAAGCACATTGATTGGTTGTCTCCAGCATCTGAGGCTGGGGAACCTGCAACCAAGGTATATACCAGGGGTGGGCAAACTTTTTGACTCGAGGGCCACAATGGGTTCTTAAACTGGACCGGAGGGCCGGAACAAAAGCATGGATGGAGTGTTTGTGTGAACTAATATAAATTCAAAGTAAACATCATTACATAAAAGGGTACGGTCTTTTTTTTTTTAGTTCTATTCATTGAAATGGGCCGGATCCGCCCGCGGGCCGT